CTCAATCTGAAGAGCAATGTCGACAACCTCATCAAAAGTAGCACCAAACACTCTCTCTCTAGTCATAAGCAATCGCAGCTGAAAAGTGAGGCCATCTATGAACCTCCTGATCCTCTCTCTGTCTATGGGAACCAACCAGATAGCATGACGGGCCAACTCAGAAAATCTCATCTCATACTGCGTCACAAACATATCACCCTGACGAAGCTGCTTGAACTGCATGCGCAGCTCCTCTCTGCGGGACTGAGGCACAAACTTCTCCGGGAAAAGAATAGAGAACTGCTGCCATGTAAGAGGTGCTGCGCCGACCGGCCTACGCCTCTCGTAAGCCTCCTACCAACTGAAGGCAACCCCATAGAACTGAAAAGTAGTGAACGAGACCCCATTGGTCTCCAGAATACCTGCCGTACAGAGTATCCTCTGACACCTGTCCAAACAACCCTGTGCATCCTCTCCCTCTGCACCACTAAAAGATGGAGGCTGGAGTCTCCCAAACCTCTCCAATCGACGCTGATCATCATCAGGAATGACAGGAACCATATAGTCCTGAGCAACTGCAATCGGCTGGGCTGGTGGTGCCCCTGGTGTCTGGAATCCCTGTACCACCTGCTCTGGTGTGTGGGCGGCGGGAGTCTGAGCACCTCCCCCAGCCTGAGAAGTGGATGTTGTGGCCGGAACAGAGACCGCCTGAGCAAGACTGGTATACGCGGTCAGAATCTGAGCTAAGGCCACATGAAGGCCTGGAATCACAATAGGCACAGGTGGTGCCTGAGCTGGTCCCACAAGCTCATCCACAACTGGTTGCCTGCTCCTGAACTGGGGCAACTGGTGGGTCTGCAGGTACTGCCCCAACTGTTGTGCGGGCTGCACCTCTGCCCCTACTGCGACCTCGGCCTCTCGCGGCCCTGACTGGTGGTACTGGTGGCTGTCCATCCTGCCTCGTAGTATGCGTCCTCACCATCTGTGAGAGAATTAGAACAACAAAAATTTAGTTACCAGAATCAAAAGATTCGCACGACAAGAATTCAAGAATGTGAAGTTTCCTAATGGTTCGGCAGCCTCTCGAAGATAAGTACAGACATCTCCGTACCGATCCGCAAGATTCTACTAAACCTGCTCATGACTCGTGAGACCTATATAACATAGGATCTGATACAAACTTGTCACGACCCAAAACTTAACCCGTCGTGATGGCGCCTATCGTGATACTATGCAAGCCGACATCTCCAAAATACTTTTAACATTTAACAGAAATGAATTAATATATTTAAAAATAACCGGAGTCTTTCATAAAAACGGGGTAAAACCCAAAGCATAAGTGCGAAAACAAAAAAATAGCCCGACATCGGGGTATCACTGAGTCATGAGCATCTAGATATCCAGTCTAATACAAACAGTGTTTAAGTATCAATACAGAAAAGAAAGAAAAGATAGAAGGAGAGACAGGGTCTACGGACGCCGGCAGCTACCTCGTAGTCTCCGATACTTGATCGCGCACGAACTCAACGACCTCCGTGATCAAACACACCTGGATCTGCACATGAAGTGCAGGGTGTAGCATGAGTACAACCAACTCAGCAAGTAACAGAAATAAATAAGGAACTGAGAAGGTAGTGACGAGCTATACTATACAGTTCATTTTCAATAATTTCAGCAAGGAATAGACATGCTTTCAAATCCGGCGGTTCAAATCAAATCAATTATATTAAGTTAAAGTGCAGGTAAATCCGGATATGGAATCTTTCAGAAATTTCACGACAATGACAGATAGCAGCTAAGTGCATCAACAAATGAAAAAGCAAGTACAGCCTCTCAGGGCAACAATCACTCAACTCGTTACAACAGCTTAATCACTCGGCTCTCAGCCCTCAGTACTCACACTCAATAGGTACCTGCGCTCACTGGGGGTGTGCAGACTCCGGAGGGGCTCCTTCAGCCCAAGCACTATATCGCTGCGGCGTGCTGTCCGATCCCATATAAATAGCCATAAGACTCGTTGCGGCATGCAACCCGATTCATATATATATATATACAGCCCGGAGGCTCGTTGCGGCGTGCAACCCAATCCATATATACAGTTCTAAGGCTCGTTGCGGCGTGCAACCCGATCCATATACATACATATAGCTCACAGCTCGTCACTCAGGCCCTAACTGAGTCACCAACGTTTCTAGTCTCTTGGGCTCTCAGAAATCATAAAGATAAGCCCAAGCAAAAATAACATAGTGTATTAACAAGAATCAAGAAGAGACTGAGATATGATACGTAAGTAAAACCATGACTGAGTACAAGACAATAATTAGCAAATACTTCAACAAGTACTCGACCTTTGCGGGTCCCAACAGTACCATCCCATAGCCTAAGCATGATTTCTAACATGATTGCAGTCAAATTTCTATAACACATAGACAACATGTAATTAACGATAGCTATTTGACTTTACAGTCTCACGGGACGGACCAAGTCACAATCCCCCAGGGTGCACGCCCACGCGCCCGTCACCTAGCATGTGCGTCACCTCTAAAATAGTCACATCATACCAAAAATCTGGGGTTTCATATCCTCAGGACCAGATTTAAAACTGTTACTTACCTCAAACCACGTAAAATCCTACTCTGCAATGCCCTTGCCCCTCGAATCAATCACCAAACGCCCCGAATCTAGCCACAAGAAGTACGATGTAATTAATATAAGCTAAAAGAATCAATTCACAAGAAAAATACGAAATTATAAGCCAAAAATCCGAAATCGGCCGGAACCCGGCCCCCGAGCCCACGTCTCGAAATCCGATAAAAGTCACAAAACTCGAAAGTCCATTCACCCACGAGCCTAACCATACCAAAATTACTCAAATCCGATAACAAAATCTCATTCAAAACCTCAAAATTCTAACTCAAGAGTTCTTCCTATTTTTCCCCAATTTCTCACCCCAAATCACAAATTAGATGATAAAATTAAAGTTGAAATCATGGGATTTAACCAAAATCAAGTAGGAATCACTTACCCCAATCAACTCCACAAAAATCCCTTCAAGAATCGCCCAATTCCGTGTTCTCTAGCTCAAAATATGTAAAATGGGTTCAAACCCTCATTTTTTAAATTATTACTGTCTGCCCAGATTTCCTTCTTCGCGAACGCGGTCATCCTCTCGCATTCGCGTAGGCCAACTCAGACTGCCTCCCAGTTTACTCTTCGCGAACACGATCAACGCTTCGTGAACGCGAAGCTTTACAGCTCAACTCATCGCGAACGTGGCCCGTACCTCGCGAACGCGTAGACCAAAGACCTGGGGTCCCCAGCTGCCTCACTTCTCTTTGCGAACGCAACACCACTCACGCGTTCGCGATGCACACGCAGACCACACCTTCGCATTCGCGTCCTCTTCTTCGCGAACGCGAAGAACAAAATCTTCCCAGCTCCCATTAACCCTTAGCGAACGCGTAAGAGGAAACCAGAAAATATACACCATCAGATATCAACCATCAACCAAAGTCCAAAAATGATCTGTTAACCACTCGAAACTCACCCGAGGCCCCCGGGACCTCAACCAAACATACCATCAAGTCCTAAAACACTATACGAACTTAGTCGAATCCTCAAACCATCTCAAATAACATCAAAAACACGAATCACTCTCCAATCCAAACTTAATGAACTTCGAAATTTTCAAATTCTACAAACGATGCCGAATCATATCAAACCACATCCGATTGACCTCAAATTTTGCACACAAGTCATATTCAACATTACGAACTTATTTCAACTTCCGGAATCGGAATCCGACCCCGATATCAAAAAGTCAACCCCCCGGCCAAACTCCCCAAAAGTTCGACTTTCGCCATTTCAAGCCTAAATTAGCTACAGACTTCAAATTCACAGTCCAGACACGCTCCTAAGTCCAAAATCACCCAACGAATCTAACAGAACCGACAGAACTCCATTCCGGAGTCGGCTTCACACAATTCCGACTACGGTCAAAATCTTAAGACTTAAGCTTCTATTTTAGGGACTAAGTGTCCCAAATCACTCCGAAACCAAAAACAAGACCTCCCGGCAAGTCACATAAGCAGAAATAGATACGGGAAAAATAGTAAATAGGGGATCAGGGCTAATACACTCAAAACGACAGGTCGGGTCGTTACAACTAACTCACACATAAATCATGGTGGTCGAAAAATAAATTTTCCGGTAGTATTTTCTTATTTTATGTTTTTTATTATTTTTTTATTTTCAGTCTAATAAATAATTACCCAATTAAAATAGAAGAAATATGAGTATTTTTTAGCCGCTCCTAAAAACAATAGCCGATAAAATATTTTTTATATATATGTGTATTATACACATATAACATACGCATTATATATATATTTTTTGACTAGCAAATGTAATTAGTTTCGGACGGCCGGTTAATTTTATATTTTTCTCTTAAAATAGGAACGACCCAACCCAACCCGACCAAATACACATATACGTAAGTTAAAATAAAACTAAAAATGAATTCTTCCCCCATAAAAAATTTAGTTCGGAATGCATGAAATTCTGACAAAAAAATAAATAAATAAAAGGTATAATTAAAGAACACTTGAAATAAAAATGCTATCAATTTGAATAAAAATCTTGAAAAAAAAATAGAAGTGTCATATTTTGAAGGATTTACCATTCACTTTTAGTATTATTTTAATTTATATATATGAGTATTGGATCGGGTGGGCCAGATCGGTTGAGTCATTCCTATTTTAATTGGATTATTATTTATTAGATTGAAAATAAAAAATAACAAAATCACAAAATAAGAAAATACTACTAAAAAATTATATTTTTCGATCCTCATGATTTTTGTGTAAGTTAGTAAAAGTTTTATGATTTTTGTGTGAGAAAATATAGTTATGTGACTTTGATGAAAAAAAGTTATAGTTATATGATTTTTGTATGAGAAAACAAAGTTATATGACTTTAGTAAAAACAAGTCATATTTATATGAATTCCTTTAAGCCACAGAATTATGTTAACCTCAACGCAGTAAAGATTGTTTCATAGATATCAAATCAAGAAAAGAGTCTTAGAAATCAGAGTTTATGTGTAAAACGTGTGTCCTAATTATAGCAAATCAAGTAATCCATATAGACAAATGAGTGATACATGATAGCCTTGCTATCAACTCCTTTCCAAGCTTGAAATAGACATCTCCAAGTCTAAAATTTCCAATAATCTGGCATATGTTGATCATTTCAACAGTCCAAGCTCACAGCTTTGAAACAGGTAAGCCTGAAATTGTGAACCATTTCTATTTAGTGAAACCCCTCAAGCATATTGGATCAAATTTTGCAGCTCTAAGGAATTTGCATATACGCGTTACCTAAAGTTTTCGAGTTAACAATGCTTGGACATGCAGCAGGAGGTTGAGAATTCTCATTTAAGAATGCATCTACACTGTTTGGATTACCCCAAACTGGGTAGCCTTTAATTTTTCCCTGTGACATCAAGAAACATACGCATCACTAAAAATCGAAAGCACCTATTTTGTATAGCCTGAAGCCCTAACACTCACTATCAGTAGTTCATGCATTTTAGCAAAATAATATCTTTAAGTTCAACGTGATACGTGGAAAACGATCTCTCTTAAAAATTGCATACCAGGACATTCAGAGCAGCTAGTGTAGCCATTCCCTCACGAGTCCACTGCATTAAGAATCAGGAGAGTTAAAACTATTTTAAACAAGACGGCAACCCCATGTAAAAGAGAATTGGTGAATTAGATGGGAAATAGCTGTCGCAGCAGGAACATTGCTTCTTAGATTACAGGTTAAGGACAGATAATATACAATTAAGTGCATGATTACCTTAGATGCAGAAGCTATGTGGGGTACCACAACGGCGTTCTTCATGTCCGCAAGACCAGGTTTCATGTAGGGCTCATCCTAACACAACATAATAATTAAAGAAGGGCATTACTTGAATGTATAAGACAAAGGAAGCATCCTATACTCTACAAGAATAGATTATTTGCTAGCTTTTCCTTTGCTAGAAATGGTGCATAATACACCAGTTTCTCATTGACCATCGGATACGCCTTTTACATGTTCATAGCGGGAGAAGGGAATCACCAAAATAAATATACTACTATTGTGATTACCTCAAAGACATCAAGGCCAACACGGAACATGGGATTTTCCCTCAGATGCTCAACAAGAGCTACCTCATCAACCACAGGCCCCCTACTACAGTTCACAAGTATTGCTTCCTACAGGATCAGATGGAGTAATATCAAGATGTCGCATTTGTATAAATCAGCAAGCATAATAGATATTCTTGCAACTGATTTTACCTTCTTCATCATTGCAAGCCGTTCTTTGTTTACAAGGTGGTACGTTGTTTTATCAAGGATTGGATGTAGACTTATCTAGAGAAACATTTTGGCCAGAGATTAGATCTTGAATGAGAAATCCACTACTATGTCCAGATAGGTGAATATAGATCTAAAAATGCACTCTTCATGTAGAAAATAATTACCACATCAGCCTCTCGGAGCACCTCCTCCATGGATGCAGCTCTTTTCCATGTCACAGGCTGTTCACCACTGGCTTTAAGGAACTGACCATAGGCTGCAAAGGCAAAAGAACATAAGCAGATGAAAATGTGCTTGAGAAGTTTGTCAATGTAGTAGACTGATCAAAACATGCCTGTCACAAATTTTTCTAGACGAGTAGCTTGGTACAGGTCGTAGTAGATCAAGTTCATCTTGAAGCCTTCAATCTGTTCCAACAAAAAAACAAAGTTGCTCAAATTAACATAGCAAATGTACATACATTTATTTGATCTTGATTTCCGGTGAAGATGAAGTTTGAAAGTGAAGCTCGTCCTAAAATAAACATGTAGAGCAGAGAATAGCCCTGCCTTTAAATTGTTTTCAGCCAACAATTTCAGAAAACAAAAAAGTTGAGATCAATATTTGTCAACCAAAAAGCACAAAGCAAACCTAGTTTCACAGAAAACTTAAGAGGATAAATCTTAGTAGCTGATTATTACCATCATTCTAGCATAAGCAGATCCAATACGACCAGCCCCTATTACACCAACAGTTTGTCCTTTAAGCAAGTTCCCCACAAACCTGGAATAGACCATTAATTTAGTTATAGACCTGAGCCGACACAAGAAATAGAAGGTAATTGAGATTAAACAGTTACATACAAATGTGGAAGCCATCCTTCATATTTGCCAGCTCTCATGAACTCATCTGCCTCCACAATCCTTCTCGCTGCTGCTAAAGAAAGTGAAGCTGCTAACTCTGCTGTAGTCTCGGTCAGTACTCCCTGGACATCAGAACATTATGTGAGAAGAGAGAATTATGCCTTTACAGATATGCAGATATCAATTGTCATTGTGATCACAAGCAATATTTCTTGCATCATTTACCATATCGATCAGTCTATATGGTCCGACAAAATCCCTCCTAGGGCAATTTAGAAGCTACAGATTACATTGATACACATGTCGCAAGTTCAGGATAACTTTTGTGTCTTATTTTACTAAAGAAGTGTTTTACCAGTTTCAAATTCAAAGTGAATTGGAGCATTCCCTCATAACTGAGACTCCATGTAAAAGACCTCTCACGTGAAAAAACAAAAACTTGTTGTTAAGAGGAAATATAACCGACTATAACTTCCATAATATACTATATGTGTTGTGTTGTGTCAAATGGCAATTGTCAGTGTATCGACATAGATTCAGTGCCTCTGATAAGTCCAAACACTACTGTAGACAACCTCAGACCAATCTATTGAATATTGATTAATATAGTAGATCAAACACTATATGATCAGGCATGATATGCATTTAAAATTATCAGCTAAGATGTCTTATACAAAGTTACTGATTATTTCAGTACCAAAGAAACTGGATTACTACAAATCAAAAATGAAGAAGTATAAACTTACAGGTGTGTTTCCAACAGCAACACCGTACTTGTTAGCAGCTTCAACGTCAACATTGTTGTATCCTACAGCCATGTTACTGAAAGCTTTCCCTCCAGCCCTGCTTAATGCAGAGAATAGTGTTTCTCCCCAATCCTCTGTCAACTGAATATTACAAAACCCAAGAAAATGAAAGTATTTAAGTTCAACTTTCTGATAGTGTAAAAGTTTTTTTTTTATAAGTAGGTCACTAAAAAGATAACAAGAAATAACTAATTCAACCTAAAAACTAGCTCGCGGGGTGAGGATGTCTAAACCATGTAAGGAGACAACAACTAATTCTTTCTACCAATATTGGACAGTTGACATCTGGCGCGTGGACAATATAATATGGGAGTTCAACATTGGGTAAACTAAGAATTCAGATGAGTCTGATAAAAATGGACCTTAGGATTAACTCACCAAAAGCTAACTCACGAGGTGAAGATTGCCTAAGACAATATAAGGAGACGACAACTAAGTCCCTTAGCTAAAGTTAGACACTTAACACTTAACATAACCATCCAAAAATATTCTATTGTAAACTGCCACAATAGAGTAAAATAGTTAAATCTAGATCATTTAGAAGAAAACAGGAGGCAAAACTCGAAAGCAAATCACAAGCCATAATGCATGTAGGATCAATCACCTGTCCAATGACTCCATCGCACCTATCTCCAATAAGAGCAAGAATGTCTTCAACCGATAGAATAGTTTTCTTCTCAGTGCATATCTACTCATAATTACAAAATCAAATGCATTAAATCAAGTTAATCAAACCCAAAAAAGAATGAACAACTTGAAAAGAAATATGGAAAAGGAATATATATATATATATATATATATATATTACTTCGAGACGACAATCTTGTTCAATTAGAAGATTAATCCATCTAGTTCCCGGCATAGATTTTGTGCTGACAACTCTGTATTTCCCATTTGGATTCCACACTTCAATTTGAACTGGCTTTGCCATCTTCAATTCTAACGTTTATGTCTCTGCTCTCTGCTTACTCACTCACCACTTTATTTCCTTCTTTAAATGAAATCTTCTGGTTTCTATTATACCTAAATATATAAATAAAATTGCAGGAAATTATCAGGTGCATTGCAGAACACTACAAAATTTTCTATCAGTAATAAAAGAATGGGAGTAGAGAAAACATATGGTACGTGTCGGATTATGGCTTGTTGATGCATAGAAGAATGATATGTTGGAGTTGCAGGGAAACTTGTATGGTTGAATTATTTGTGATTTTAAGCTGAGGACCTCTCATTTTGGCAGAGGATAATGGGACTCTGGGTTTACGCCACGTAAGTTGGCTGCTATCTTTATTGAACGACGACAAAATTTAGCCCTTTTGCTCCAAAGAATTGTGAATCACCAGTTTTAGAGACTATCTGCTACATATAATATGAGAACACACTGCAACTAGTTGTTGGTTACAATTTTTGGAGGTTGCAATTGTTATGAATTTTAGAAAAAATATGCAAGCAACAATACGGTTGAAAATAGGATTGAAAAATTATCTCTAAAATTTTATTAATCATAAGTCTTTAAATAGTCAAATAAATAAAATAGTAGACTCCTCCTACAACTAAATTACTAAACTCTTACTATAATTAAAATGCTGAATCTTCTAGCACACTTATCCTAAAACTAAACAACTAATTATTCTAGAAAACAGTAGCAGTAACAGATGCAAAATCCTTCCTTCTTATGCTATTAGTGCTTGTGCATGAGCATTTTTAAACTTGCACACTTTTGTAACATGACCTTTTTGTTTGCAATTTTCACATAATGCATCAAGTCTCCACCAACAAAATTTTTCTAAGTGTGCTTTCTTTTTGCAATATTTGCAATAAGGATAATCAACTTTTTCTTTTTGGTGTTTCGCATAAAAAATACCCTCAGTAACTTTGTCTTGTCTGAAGACCCTTCTTTGCTCTTGTGCTTGAAGAGCACTTATTAATTCTGCAACAGAGATGGTAGAGAGATCTTTAGACTCTTCCAGAGAGGAAATTTTGGATTCAAATCTCTCGGGAATTATCACAAGAATTTTTTAACTATCCTGTCATCTTTGAAATCCTGGCCAAGTAATCTGATTTTATTGACAATTAAAGAAATTCGGTCAGAATATTTAGCGATGGTCTCATCATCTTGCATTCTAAGAGATTCAAAATCTCTTTTCAAATTTAAAATCTGATTTTGTCTGCCTCGTTCACTTCCTTGATACTCCTGTTTGAGTGTTTCCCAAGCCTCTTTTGATGTCTCACATGCAATGATTTTAGAGAAGATTGAATCTGCAACTAAATTTTGAATTATAGTTTTGGCTTTGTATTTTTGGGTTTTCTCATCTGAATGAGCTTTGATTTGGGCAAGGGTAGGATTTGCAGGAAGTGGTTGTATAAGTTTGTCTTCCATTACAACTTCCCATAGATCATAAGCTTCAAGATAAGATTTCATCTTCACTGACCAAATCTGATACTTTTCACCAGTGAAAGTTTGTGGGGTATTCAAAGAGAGACCGTTGCTTGCCATTGTTAAAAATTTGGTTAAAAATCGGTATGGGTAAAAATGCATATGATTTAAAAGTGGTTGAAATTGATTGTTTTTCAGCGAATTCAGAGATCCGTCAAGATCAATGGAGGCTCTGATACCACTGTTATGGATTTTAGAAAAAATATGCAAGCAACAAGAAGGTTGAAAATAGGATTAAAAAATTATCTCTAAAATTTTATTAATCATAAGGTTTTAAATAGCCAAATAAATAAAGTAGTAGACTCCTCCTACAACTAAATTACTAAACTCTTACTATAATTAAAATTCTGAATCTTCTAGCAGACTGCTCCTAAAACTAAATAACTAATTATTCTAGAAAACAGTAGCAGTAACAGTTGCAAAATCCAACATCAATTTTATCACACACAATGCACATGTACTATTTAAATGTAGACTTTCATTGACCAAAAAAATGTAAAATTTCAATTCTATAATAGTAAAACTTTACTTCTATCTTCCCTTCTCTTAGTATGATGGGTAACTTTTTGTTACTACATTAAAAAAAAATTACCCAGCACACAACTAAGCTTTCGTCGTGCCTGGAGTTTGAGTAAAGACTACTAATTACATTGAGTTATTGTACATAACTCTATCTTTTATATTTGCAGACTACAAAAAGTTGTTTATACGATTTAAACTCATGATATCCTAGCGGAGTTTGAGGAAAGGCTACCAATTACATTGAGTTATTGGACATAACTTTATCTTTCATGTTTGCAAATTATAAAAAATTGTTTCTACGACTTAAATTTATGACGTCCTAAACATACCGGCAAGGTTGTATTATTTATCAATGCACATGGTTGAAATATCTTGAATATGTAATCTGTACTAAATTTGCACGTGCAGTAGTACTCTGATCTTACACCCTCTAACTAAAGATCTTAGATTCGTATTACATATATATTTTACGCTTATATTTGCAATTTGAACATTCATAGACTATTTTTTTTCTTTGTTCTTATTCATAGACTTCTACGCACTAATAGTCCGTTGGGATCAACTGATTGTAAATTGCTGATATGTTTGAAGTGCTGAAAAGTATTTTAGTGCTGAAACTGATTTTTTAATTAAGCATTTACGTGTTTGAATAGACGTGCTGAAACTAATAATAAACAGTTGATGTGTTTTACAGAAAAGTGTTGATAAGCTGTTCTTTTAGTAAAATGACTAAAATACCCTTAATTATTTTTTTTATAAAGTAAAAAGTTTTTTTGTAAAGAAAAGGATAAACGACGAATATGGAATAAAGAGAAAGTTATTTTGAGAAAAGTATTTTGGGAATTAAAAAAGGAAAAAAGTTCATTATTGCCCATGTACTATTGTAAATAGTATACGTTTGTCCTCTGTTTCACTTTATGTCAAAAACCCACCCTACCGTTAGCAAAGTAAGTGGAACTGCCCCTAACCCTAACGGATGGCCAATGTGGCAGCTGACCCACTCCATTTTTTCCATGTCAGTTGCCAAGTCACTTATTTACTCAATTAAAAAAAATATATCCCCCAACCCGAATCCGGAACCAAAATAATGCATTTTTGGACTCAAGACACAAAAATAGGTGAAAAACAAAGTTAGTGACCAAAATACATATAACGCCCTTTAAAAGGGCGCTATACCTTAACGATCGTTTCCCCGTTAAGGTATAGCGCCCTTTAAAGGGGCATTATATTTGAATATGAAAAGACGGGCAGGTATAGCGCCGTTTATTATAGCGCCTTAATAAACGACGCTATATCTACATAAAATACCGTCCCCTTCCCTTCCCCACCAAACCAGAACCCTTCCCCCATTAACGACCAAAAAAGCTCGAGTGGAGCCGACCCGTCCCACAAAAAGTAAATATTCTCGGTCTCACATCCTAGCTAAGGCGTTATCTCATTGTGAGTTGCTCGTTTCGGCTCCAAATCGCCAAATCTTCAACTTTTTAAAAACCTTAAATCGAGGTATTCCGACTTATTTTTTATTGAAACTCGTATAAAAAATGCATATTAGTTGTTTTAATGTGATCTATGTTATTTTGTGATTTAACTATTTTGTTATTTTTATCCGGACTATGATATTAGTGTGCTAAAAAAATTAGTAAAAATAGAGAAATTATTATTAGTTGTTAAAAAAATGTTAACTAGATACTTTTTACTGTGATATATGTATTTTCATGAATGTTTTGTGATTAAATTATTTGTTGTTTTTATCTGATTTAGATTATTTATTGTCTTAAAGACTAGTAAAATAGATAAATTATTACTTTAATTTCCTCTAGTGGTACTAGTGGCCTAATGTAGTACTTGTATTTGTAATGTAGTGTCGTTTTAGCTTAGTAAAATGTAGTACCATTTATTGTAGTATCCTTATAGTTATTGAAATTAATCATTTAAGTATCTGTTATACCCAAAAATACGTCAAAATAGATGATAGTTCAAACACAAACTCTGTCCAATTCTAGTCAACGATCGTAAGAAAATAGCATGAGAAAACAACAATATTTTTCGGATACCTTGGTGTGACTGGGCCTCAAATATCGAGCCTGGAACCCATATGTGAATATTTAATAATTAAATCTTGTATAATTATGAAAATTAATTATTTAATTTTATTATAGTCAATAATAAGTGAGTCATAAACAAAAATATATAATAATGAAACTAACATATACAATATTAAACTAACATATGAATAATAAACTAACATTTAAAATAACAGACATCTTGAGTGATAAATCGAGAAAATTTTCTCATTATGAACACAAGAATTCAGGATATCTTGGTGCTACAAGGCCTCAAATATCGAGCCCGGAACCCATGTGTAAATATTTAATAATTAAATCTTGTATAATTATGAAAATTAATTATTTAATTTTATTATAGTCAAAAATAAGTGAGTCATAAATAAAATATATAATAATAAAATAACATATAAATTAATAAAACTAACATATACAATATTAAACTAACATTTAAATAATAAACTAACTTTTAAAATAACAAACATGTTGAGTGATAAATCGAGAAAATTTTCTCATCATGAACACAAGAATTCAGGATATCTTGGTGCTACTGGGCCTCAAATATCGAGCACGAAACCCATATGTGAATATTTAATAATTAAATCTTGTATAATTATGAAAATTAATTATTTAATTTTATTATAGTCAAAAATAAGTGAGTCATAAACAAAAATATATAATAATTAAACTAACATATAAATTAATAAAACTAACATATACATTAAACTAACATATAAATAATAAACTAATATTTAAAATAACAGATATGTTGAGTGATAAATCGAGAAAATTTTCTCATCATGAACACAAGAATTCAGGATATCTTGGTGCTACTGGGCCTCAAATATCGAGTCCGGAACCCATATGTGAATATTTAATAATTAAATCTTGTATAATTATAAAAATTAATTATTTAATTTACAAACAAACATATAAAATAATAAACTAACATATTAAAGTAAAATAATATAATTAATCTTGTTT